AGAATGGTGAACGGTCTGAGATTGCACCCTGTCTGCAAGCTGACAAGTTAACATGACACCCTTTCATGAACATACATAAAAGACATCAGACTCCTAGGTCAGATCTGAAGGACAACTTATTATTCATAGCAATATCAATAGCCAGAATATCATTTGCATCAGTTTCCCAAGTCCTAAATTCCACTGGGCAATATAAATAGGGCCAAGTGACACCTGCACACTCAATGGGTTATTATAGGAGAGAAACCCTGAGTGTAGAGAACAAAAATATTTTTTAATGGACAGCAAGCATGTCTTTCTTTTGCTCTGAAGAGAGACATTATATTATACTGGACAGTAAGTATGTATGACATTTATTCCAACGGGAGACATTCTCTCTTCCAAGGTTGCTTGCTATTCAAACGTCCTTGAAAAGAGAGTCTGAAACAAAGTTGGTTGCTCCAAAGATGTGTGGAAATATAACATATCCATGGAAAATTGACCTTTAACACTGAGTGGAGGAGTCAGAATTTAAACCCAGGTCTGCATAAAGCCATAACTAATGTTCTTAATCAATATGCCTCATGTTTTTTCACCCACTTATTTTCCCTTCAAACTGGCAAAGTTCAGAGACTGGTCCTATCAGAAATGGGGAATTAGGGAATTTTACAGGCATGAAAAATGTTCCATATCCACTAATTCATTATTCTGATCATACTGCATTTAAACTGTTCACTTATTTTTATATTCATTCTAGACTGTAAGTATGGTAAGGTCTGAATCTTATTCACTATTATATTCCACTTGCTTTCTCAATAGAGGGCATAAACATGGTGCTCATGGTCAGAAATAGCTGAGTTGGGATCCTAACTCAGTCACTCACCAGTTGTGTGATGAATATGAGCCTCAGTTTCCTCATCTATAAAATGGAATTAATAATTTGTATTTTTCTAGGTTTGTGGTGAAGAATAAATGATATATATATATAGTGTTTAACATATTCATTGTACATGGTGGCCATTTTATAATATTTATCACTCAATGTATATATCTTGAATGTTTAAGCAATTGTGATTTTTCTTTTTTACTATTATAACTTTTTTTTTTTAACTAGATCCCTGGATTCTGTACTCATATGTTCCTTTTAATTTTAACTAAGTGTTCTCTGGCTACCACTTCCTTCATATTGGGGCTGATAATTTTGTTGCAGAGTTCAGAATTGTCATTGCTTCTTGGTATTCTTCTTTTTCCTAACCATAGTTTACTGCACCAGCCAACTGCCTGAGAGGAATAGCCTCTGTTGTCTATGGTCAGAATAAGTGATACATATGTGCATTTAATTTCTCCTTGATCACCTTTACTGATGGGGACTGCCTGACCTTTAAAGTCATTATGAGTCATTAAGTAGCTCTCATGCCTAGCAGGTGTTTTTTTGTTTGTTGTTACACACACACAGATACACACACCACACACACTGAAATATTTTCTCATCAGCATCTACTCATGATAAACAGAGCATCCTCTGTTTATTATGTCTTTCAGATAAAATAACAATATGGACTTCTCACTCAGTCTTTTCTCTATAAATGACACCCTCCCTATTCCTGTCAGTGTCCTTTGCTTACCCTTTAGTTTATCCATGTTAGCATTAAAATGTAATGTCCAGAATTGAGCACTAATCTTTAGAAGAGATCTGACTGAGCAGCATAAAGCAAGCCTATCTGCAGATTCAGATGACCCCTGGGTAAGAAACAACAAATGACAATAAGTTGATAGAAAACATTTTATTTGGAACAGGTCTTTCTGAAACCCATAAAATCACCTTGTATGAGTTTGAGCTCACTCTTCCAACCCAGAAAAGCCTCAGATAAGAGCTTGAGTGGTGTTGTTTTATTTTTCTTTTCAAAGATTTCACTTCATGTTGTAAATCAGACATCCTGGGGCAGCACTCTTTCTCTTCCTCAACTGAAGTTAGAATCAAGATGTCTGGATTTAAGCCATGTCCCTGGATCTATGAGCTGTGTGACATTTGACACATCACTTAAACTTTCTGGACCACAGTTTCATCATCTGTAAAGTGGACGTCATATGTGTGTGAACTTGCGGGCTTATTGAATCAAGTATGATAACTTACATTGTAAAAATCCTTTGAAAACTGCAAAGAACCATAATAATATAAATACTCACTATTTTAAGAATTCACTTTGACTTTTGGCTGGATGTGAGTGGACTTTGGTAGTGTGGCTTGCCTTCCCTGAATATGTATATCAGGCACTTATGGTGACAAAAACCCTGTAATTGATTGACCCTGTGCTGTTTCTTCTTGCGATGGTGCCTAATGGGACTTGTTTAATCCTCATGTCCCTTAATCTCTTGGCAACACTCAACACTCCTTTTCACTCCTCTTGAAGTGCTCTTCTCTTTGATTCTATGATAATGATCTCGGTTTCCTCCTAGATCTCCAGTTAGTTCTTACTGCTCTTAGCCAACTTTTTGTATCCACCTTTTTTAGGTTATAACTTCTCAGGGCTCAGTCCTAGAACATATCCCTCTTCACTCTCTCCCAACAGAAACTCACTAATACTTGTGGCTTTGGGCAACTTCTCCAGGTGAATGATTTCCAAGTATTTTCTACCTACAGCCCTCTAGGTTATACAAATATGTATCCAACTGCTTCAATATCTGCTCTTGGGAATCTCACTAGCACTCCACAGTCAACATGCCTAAAGTCCAATTCATGACCTGCCCCTCAAAGCAAGCCCAAGGTCCATATCTCAGGGAATGTTAGCTCCAGCCATTCATGCAAGTAGACAGAAATTATGGAATCATCCTTCATACCTTCCTTTCTATCTTATTTCATTCATCACCAAATTCTGTTGAGTTTACCACTCCCAGATATTTTTATCTTTGTGACCACTACCCTAGGCCAAACTATGGCCATCCTTTGCCTGGATATTGAAGTGGGTTCCTATAGTCTCTCCATTATTACATTTTGTCCTTCCCATGCCCCCCCCACCCCACAATTAATCCAGAGCAGCCAGAGGAGGAGGAGGAGGAGGAGGAGGAAGAGGAGAAGAAGAAGAAGAAGGAGGAGGAGGAGGAGGAGGAGGAGGAGGAGGAGGAGGAGGAGGAGGAGGAGAAGGAGAAGGAGAAGGAGAAGGAGAAGGAGAAGGAGAAGAAGAAGAAGAAGAAGAAGAAGAAGAAGAAGAAGAAGAAGAAGAAGAAGAAGAAGAAGAAGAAGAAGAAGAAGAAGAAGAAGAAGAAGAAGAGGAGTCCACTTTACTCCTTAAAGTGTTTTGATGTCCCTGACATGACTTTTTCACTACCTGTTCTGACCTCATTCACCCTCCCATCTTGTTTCATATAGTTCTCTTTTTCATTCTCTGCACTAGAGGCCCATTGGTTTTCCTTCAGTTCCTTGACATACATGCTCCCTTATTACACTGGACCCACTGTGAGTAGTCCTCTTTCTGCCTTAAATTCTCTTCCCCTGCCCTTCAAGCACACACATGCACACACACACATTCTTATAATCTAGTTGCCTGTCTACCAATCTTTTTTCTCTTTTTTCTTTTTTTTTTCTTTGAGATGGAGTCTGGTTCTGTCACCCAGGCTAGAGTGCAGTGGCATGATCTTGGCTCACTGCAACCTCCATCTCCAAAGTTCAAGCAATTCTCCTGCCTCAGCCTCCCGAGTAGTGGATTACAGGCATGTGCCACCATACCCGGCTAATTTTTTTGTATTTTTAGTAGAGATGGGGTTTCTCCATGTCCGCCAGGCTGGTCTTGAACTCCTGACCTCAGGTGATCTGCCTGCCTCACTAAAGTTCTGGGTTTACAGGCATGAGCCACCATGCCCAGCCCTGACTACCAATGTTTTACTCCTCAGCCTTAATCTTTCTTCTCTGGATAAATTTCTTTTACCCATCTGAATAAATCAGAACTCAACAAAGAAAACGTGTTTCTGTTTTTAGTAGCACTTATCACAGCTTGTAAATATCAAAATAATGTGATTTTTTTGTTTGTTTCTCTCCACCAAAAGTCTAAGCTCTACATAGGTAAACACCTTTTCTGTTTTGATTCATTATTATTTCCTCAGTGCAGAGCAGACGGTAAATATTTGATAAATACTTGTTAAATGAATGAACTTTCCATTTTACAGATGAGGAAAATTAGATCAAGAGAATCTATATAACTTCCTAGGGTTGTATAGTTTGTGAAATGGTAGAAGGAAGTCTTTTTTTTTCTACTTTTATTTTAGGTTCAGGGGTACATGTGCAGGTTTGTTACATGGGTAAATTCCTGAGGTTTGGATATGAATGATCCTGTCATCCATCACTAGCAAAAATGCTAATGATGCTGAGCACTTTTTCATATATTTGTTGGCCACATGGGCATTTTCTTTTGAGAAGTGTCTGTCCACATCCTGGGCCCATTTTTTAAAACGTGGCTGGTTTTTGCTTGTTGCATTGTTTATGTTAGAAGGAAGTGTTTTCCGCATGTTCTCACTCATAGGTGAGAATTGAACAATGAGATCACTTGGACACAGGAAGGGGAACATCATACACGGGGACCTGTTGTGGGGTGGGGGGAGGGGGAAGGGATAGCATTAGGAGATATACCTAATGTAAATGACGAGTTAATGGGTGCAGCACACCAACATGGCACATGTATACATATGTAACAAACCTGCACGTTGTGCACATGTACCCTAGAACTTAAAGTATAATAATAAAAAAAAAAGAAGGAAGTGTTTCACCTGCAAAGTATTTTCTAAACCACCACAGTGTTTTGGGTAGTGGTTATATTTTTGAGATTCTTGTACCCATTTTCTTTCCTATCTTAGGTCAGTTACAGACTAATGCCTGCCATAGCCTGAACCATTGCCTCAAAGGCTTTCCTACAGAGAAATCTCCTTTGTGAGAGGGAAATTTCATAGAAGCAAAGCTTTGGAAAGAAATCTATGACCCTTTGTCAGGTCTGTCAATGTTCTTGGTACAAGTAAGATAAAGTGTGATTAACTGAAACAGAAAAGGCCTCTAGTAGAGGAATATCAAGGTGTTTATAGAATGAATGAGAGGGCTAGAGAAGCAGGTTTGATCTCAGGGAAGACGGGCAAAAACCAAGGTCACAATCTGGGAAGAGTCTGGTCACACCCCATGAACACCATGGATCTCGCCACTGCCAGAGCCTCTAGTGAATACTGCTACAACTAGACAACACTGCCATGCCACCCCGCATTACCTCTTTCAAGAAATCCTAAATTGGCCTTGCAATGTATCATTTAATCAAGCTTTGAAGACACAGGTAGGGCCCTCCAGTTGGCCTGGAGTGAGTTAGATGCCAGTGTCCTGGATTCCAGGGAGGGGTGGGGGCTCTTCTTACCAGGATCCACACAGTTGGGGATCCCATCTGTAGGTGAGAGAAGATGGGTCATCCAACAAAACAACACCACAAATGTACTATAATAGGCATAGTAAAGCTAGTAGCAGAGAAGAAAGGGATTATCTCAGGATCAGGACCAATTAGACTCATATGAGTGGTCTGGCCTCAGCAGAACCTCTCCATCAGAGTGCTGTGTAAAAGCTGAGGGCAAAGAGCCAGGAAACCCAGAACTCAAAACCAGTAAGAGTAGATGGACATACGGCAAGGCTATTGTCGGGAGTCAGATTGTCTTTGAAGGTGTACTCATTCTCAGTGTGGGACTCTTAACTGTGTATGTCCTAAAGGCTGGGTGTAACAGGGATGTCACACATGCAGGAATATTGCAAGCATGACACCAATGCTCCTATCATCCCCCCATGACAGCCATAGATAATCAACCACAACATGATTTTGGAAGGAGCCCAGTGCAGTCTTGACCCCTGGTTCTAAGGCAATCATTCTGAATATTTCTGACTTGGTGTGTGAGATGAATTGCATTACCAACAACTGTGCCCCAATCCTAATTCCAATCTAAACATAATGCATATTCCTCATGACTAAAAAGAAAAAGCATAGTTTGCTCATTTTTCTCTCATCTTTCAGTTGCTGCTGTCTTCAGATGGAGTTTTGTTTGCAGATTTATTGGAGTATTTCTCACTTGATCTCTCCTTAACGTGACTGATTTTCTCATTCATTGTTTAATGCTTGTGCTTTTGACTTCCTGTCTCTCAAGTTATCCGATCTCTCAGGAAAAGGACCAGAGTTCTCCATGTGGCTTTCCCAGGTGCAAGTTTCCTAAGTTGGCCAGGGTGAACTTTTAAGGATATATAGAATTAACTTCCTCTTTTCCTATTTCCTGATTACATAGATTGAGCTGTTCTTTCCTAAAAATAAATCTTAGCTCTCATGAACCACCTTCATAGATATCTTTGCCCAACAGATGAGAGAAGCCCCACCCTTTATATGGACATAGATGAGTCAATCGGAGTCTATCTTGGAGTAATTAAGACTTAGAATGTTTACTATATTTTTATGTCTAGAAATTTTGCCTTACAGGTGCTTCTTTAATTGAACTAACAAAAATTTGGGAATTTTCGAAAGTCTTTTGTGAAAAAATGTAAACTTTCCCTGGAAGGAAATTGAGGAAGTGAATTTGTTTCTCATTAGAATGCACAAATTCATCAGATTGACTCATTACTGCATTAACGGTCTGGAGAGTGTAGACAAAGTTCTAGTAAAGCATATTGAAAATGACGATGTGACCTCTAGATCTGGCTTAGTCACTGATTTTGATGTGAGTCTTTGGAAAAGTATTGTCCCCCTCTGGGTCTTGGCATTGTTCTCTTTAGGTGAAATTATTTACATGGTTCTTTCCAGTTCTGTTCACTATATTCATGAACCTATGCATGTAGGGAGAATTTCACCGCAGTGAGGTATACTGGAGGTAACTTGGGGCCCCTGAAGAGAAAAGCCCAGGAAAATGAGATGAAGTGGAGTCAGACTTTCCCAAAGCTTCATCTGATAATGAATTCACATCTGCATCATTCCGGCTCCTTAACTTCTGGGATTAGAGTGAAGTTAACTAAACAGGGGAAGAAGTAGAAGTTGCAGCATACCATTAATTCCTGAATGGGTGTGGGTTGAATGTGTGTGCATGGCGGGGAGGGCAGTAAATTCTAAATTCTAAAGAACATAGAAAATATGGGAGAGGGCCTAGTTCAGTATCCCTGAACAAACAGGCAAAGTATAGAGAGTGTTTTTAGTTTTATTTAATCAACCAACAAGGATGTTGTGACCAAGGGAGGCTTTTTCCAGTTGCTACTAAAAATACATATAAAGTGCTTTTCACTTCCTAAATGACCTCCAAAGCTCGAGGGACAGAAGGGTGCAATGATTTGCATTATCTTATCACTTCTCTCCTTGCCAGATCACATTCACATCACTTTAACTGATGCCAAAAATTCACCTTCTCTATGAAGCATATAACCACAATGACCTTTCCTTTTTCCCTTCTTTCCTTTCTTCCTCCCTCCCTCCTTCTATCATTTCTTTTTTTATTCTTTTCTTTCTTCCTTCATTACTTTGTGAATTACACAATATTATATTAGCTCAAACTCTTCTTAAATTTGTCTGTAATTTTTGTATAGCCTTATTTCCCCAATGTGCCCTGCCCTCAGGATGCTCCTAGTCTAAATGATGAAACTGGAAGTATCTTGATAGTAGTTCATTGTGTCACCTGTCCAGGTTATGACTTCCTTTACAACTTCTGTACATTATCCAATAAGCATGCACCTATTTTTTTGGCATAGCACAGAAGGAAAGCTGTGCTGTTTTGGAGTTAGACTCTTTAGGTTCAAATTCTGGTTCTGTCAGCATAGTTTTATGACCTTGAGGAAGTCTTTTTATCTTTGTAATCTTCTGTTCCTTTACCTTCTCAAAAGGATAGCTTGAGGTTGAATGGCAGATACAAAAGTATCGCTAGATAGGGAAATAAGTTCCAGTTTCTGCAGCACTATAGAGTGACTATAATTAGCAATAATTTAATATATATTTTCAAATAGTTAAAAAGTGGATTTTGAACATCCCCAACACAAAGAAATGATAGCTGTTCGAGGTGATAGATATGCCAATTACCATGATTTGATCATTACACATTGTGTACATGTATCAAAATATCACACAGTACTCCATAAATATGTGTAATTATTATGTGTCAATTAAAAAAATAACAGAAGCAACATACAAATGACCAACAGGTATATAAAAATGCTAAAAATATTGCCTTCAGAGGTATATGTTAAAAAAGTAGATCATCTGTAGTTTATTTGTGCCCATAGTTCATTTTTAATTTTATATTGTAATTGAGAGATAATTTTTGTTATTTTCATAGTTACACTTTAAACAATTAGGTGATTTTTCACTATTTTTAATACTCATCAATAGTTCTTTTCTGTATTGATAAACCCATTTTTGAGTTCTTCATTTTGATTATTCTGTGAATCCTAGAGCAGATACTTGGTAAGATATTTAGGAAAAATATTATGAGTCTTTGACTATATCATCATTTCTATGTTATGAACACAGAAATAAATGTTGGCTGGATACACTGCTTTTGATTCATAAACTGTGTCCTTCAAAGCTTTGTATATATTGTGCGTTTAATTCTAATGCTTAGTTTTAGTGAGGAAGAATTGCAGCCAACATAAATTTTATTTTATTTTATTTTGTTTGGAAGTAAATGTTTTGTTTACTTCTTTTGTAGATTTGTGTAGGAATCATCTTTTATTGATTGAATTTTAAAACTGTACTAGGACCTGTGTAGGCTTGTCTGGAACATGATGAATATTCTCAATTTGAACCCATAGTCTTGCTCAAATTGAGACTGTCTTCTCTATTTCTTTACAGATTGCTCCTGCTCTTTCAGTTCTCATCACTGTTACAGGAAAAGCTATTATGTGTGGATGCTGTTGCTTGAATATGTCTTATTATCTTTTCTAATAGGAGTTGCATTTCTAAGTGTTTGCTCCCTATATAACAACTTACATTTCTGGTGATTCAAAACATCCATCTTGATTTTTAAAATTTGTCTGTTGTGTTTCTTTCAAAATTCTGATAGTTATTCTTTCCTTTGGCCTTCCTTCTTAAGTCTGCCTGCTGTTGTTCCCAGAGCAAATGTTGTCATAAAACTTGTTGAAATAAAACTTTGATTTTTTTTCCATTTAGAGCAGTAAATCAATTTTTGAAAGAGAACTACCCTGCATACCATTGGAGCAATAGTGAATTTTTGCTCTTGAGCTGAGAAATCCTTTTGAGTGCTACACATCAGTTTGGCTCTGTTTCTCCCCATCATCCAGGATCTATATTATTCTGAAGGAAATGTACATAGTCAGGTTGGAAATGGACAGGGTGTGGGTTTTGACTAAACTTTTACAAGGTCATGCTGCTAATGCCAATCCCTGATCAAAGGTAAATGAATTAAAAAACAAAACAAAATACAATACTCTAATTGTTTGGCCTTGTAGGATTGCTGACCATTTTTAAAAAGTATGTTTCTACATGACATGTTGCTTCCATTAATAAATATGGAAGTGCACCTTAGAAGCAAACATTAAAATTTTTTCTACAGTCCAGGTGATGTCTCAATGTTATTGTTTCCATAGAACAGAGAAGTGGAAGTGATCATTGCTAGGAGGAGACCCTCTCCACCTTTCATGCCATTCTCATATTCAGCATGGCTTTTACTTTTCCAATTCAGAGTGTAGGTGAAGGGGCATGCTATCTACCAGGGTTTATTCCTTATTTCTTACTGATTACATTGCTTACTTCCAGAAGTTTTGGCCATCTTTTTCTTTCTTCTTCTTTTGCAATGCCTCTCTATTGCCTCTGAGGTTAAAAGATACTCTTCCTAGTTTCTGGTATGTATATAAATACTATCCTTTATTCTGTCATACCCTTGCAAGGGATTTGTCTTTTATTCACAAGCCTTTGGGTTATTTTAATAACAATTCATGTGGATGGAGGAGGGCTATTGTAGGCAGCTGCCCCTTACTGTTCTTGTCAAGAATCCCTAACCCCATCTCCCAATGTTAAGTACTAATTTTGCCGGTGGTATGAAGATCCCAAAATAGAACTGTGGCAGAGCTGATATATGTCATGACATATATTTAGATAAAACAGAACCTATGGTCAGACAATTCTAATCTGCTGTTCCATTATGACTATGTGTCTCAGCACAACTAGTACATCCCAGTTAAGTCAATCTTGTTTCTAATCAAGCACCTATGTATTTTGTTCTCAAATCAATAATCTACTGGTTCACTCTTTGTTATTTGCTTTCCCCCCTTTTGCTGAATCGTTTTGATAATTCACCTTCAGAACTACAGAGTTTACAATGCTTTTATATGTAGGGTTGTGGATGAAATTGAAAAATTTCTCTATAGTCTGGAATAGCAGAAGCTGAGGACAACACAGGAGAGGTCCCTATGCAC